CCAAATAGGGAGAAATTGCTGTTATTATAATTAGGGATGCACTAGCTTCTTTCTATTGAGGTCAAGGACTCCTGTCTTCAGAAGCTTTGAGCAGGAAAGGAAACCTTTTGCTGTGGTGGACCAAGCTGGAGGTACTGCTAAGCTTGTAGCAGTTTCTCACTTCTAAGAGGTGGTTGGGAGCTTGTAGTAAAAAGTCAGTTGTGGCGGTCTATGAGGACATGGTTTTGCAGGCACCTCTTAATTCCTGTAACAACTGCTGGAGAACACAGAAAGGAGTTTCAGAGATCACTGCTCCTTTTTAGGTTCATCACTGAACAGGAACTGCTGCTGCTTCTGCGGCCACTCCCTTCTTGCACTCCTAGAAAAAGGAGGCTGGTCTAGAAAACAACTGATGACTAAAGAAATTTTTTTCATAAGTTTCTTTAGAGTCAAGCCTTAATAATCTAAGATATGAGCTGCAACTGCAGCCTGCTGACAGAATTTGGCTTATAGGACAACTCCAGCTCAGCCACTGCCCTTCCCTATGCCAACAAGGGACTCTCATTTTTTTTGCTTGGAACCAGAAGTTTTGGTCTACAAGTCCTTCTTGTTCCTCTGCTCCTTCTCTCCTTCATGAAAGGGGTCCCTCTGAAGCAATGAGATAGCCCTTTTCCATGCCCCTTATGGCAAACAAAAAAGTTCTTGCTGAGTCATAACCCTAATTAAACTGTGTTCATGTCCGAGAGCCCCAGGGAGCTGTATGAGCTTTGGAGAAATGGTCTGCAGAGGGCCCTATTCACTCTACATACTTTTTCAAAGGCTTCATACCTTTTCACAGGGAAAGAAAAGGGCACTGATGATGCATAAATAACTGAGCAGTCCTGCAGCTATGCTCCATACTTATTGAGCAAACACATCACAGGCAGCAACTGGGAAATCATGAGCAGGTGCATGAACTGGAAAGCAAAACTAAACATCTGTACTCTCACCAATGAAACTGCGTGGGAAACCTGGGAGAGGATCACAAATATTTACCACATGGCTAATGACATCCAGAAAATTCTGGCAGAGTTCTTAAGAAAGATGAAAACATCTCTAAAATAAAGCTACTGTCAACCTCAAAGTGATGTTATATTTAAACCATATCTATCTTAATAGTTGGAAGCAAGTCAACAAGTTGGGAAATGTGGTTGGAGCTTTTGTTTAAAAACATGCATAGTCTTGAAGGAGAGTGGAACAGAGCTGTAGGAGACTGGACAGGCTCCTGCAATGAGCAGTTCAGAAAACAGGAGCTTCTGAGCCATAGTTTGACAGGTACTTTTAACTACCCTTAGGACTAGGCTTGTGGGCTGCCCAACATCCTCAGGCAGAGACAGTGCTGCACCGCAAGGCACAGGATGAGACCATTACAGGTCAGGCACATAGGCTTGGAGTGGGTGGTTGCCCTCAGGCACACTGCTCTCTCTCATCTGCCTCCAGCCCTGAGGCCTCAGTGGACAGCAAGGGAGGTCAGATCAGAGACAACTCTCAAGGTCCCAGTGAAGAAGCGATTTGGAAGAGGATGAGCCTGGCAGTACACAGATATAGAATAGAAAATATTTTCAGTAAGGATAGTAAAAATGTTACTTTTTCTACCTCATCTCTGTGAATCGTAAGCTTTTTTTATGTGACTGATCAGCCCTGACAGAAGCATCTACATTGGAGATGACTTGACACATTTGTAAAAGAAGTATAAACAATAAATCAATAGGAGATTCTCCACTGACTGCAGAGATCACTGGGTTGGGCTTTCTCTATCAATAATAATTAGGGATCTCAGCTTCTTAGATGTTCATGGCTACTGCCATTGAAACAAATTGTCTGCAACATCAACATAAAATGATACACATTGTTCTGTATTTTCCTATGAAATAATTGTTTGATAGCATCATAGAGAACTCCCTTGGGGAAGAAAATAGTAAAGATTTGGTAAATACAGTAATACTCCCCTACTGTTCTTTGCTGCTGCCCAGACAACTCATGTCAGAGATGGAAATAAATGCAAGAAAATATAAAAGTCAGCAGAGTTGTCTGAAATGGAATTTGTAATCAGTAAAAGGAGAAACTGACTGCAAATCTATTTCGCAGCTTTTGTGCTTAACTTACATGTGTGTTAAGTCAGTGAGTGCTTGCCCTAAATGCTCATACAGTTTTTGAAGAACTCATGAATTCATGGAGATTATTATGGAGGGGGTGACGGTGGAAGGATTTGACTACTGTGCAGGAGGAGAGAGAAAGGGTAGGTCTGAAATAAAATGCAGATCAGGAAAATCAGATTACCATGACAAATACAAATGAGCTCTGAAAGACTTTCTGAGTGGTGTCTCTAAGAACTGTAACAAAGTTTAATATGTTTTGGGAACAAGATAATGAGATGAGGGAGCCAGTGCTAGCCTAGTCCCTACAGAGGATGGCATGATTCTGATGCGCATACAGTCCTTTCTCACAATAGAGAAGCTCAAACTCTTATCCCTTTGAATCTCTTAACCTGATCCGTGTTATCCTGGGAACAGTGGGGTAGAAAAACCCTGCTGCTTTCTAAGGCAGTACCTGTGATTCAGCGAGTCAGTACTAAATCAATAATATGGCATTCATTTTTGTGGGAGTCCTTCACTGAGGCTTTTCTGGGTGAGTGATGATGGACTGAATCTGGTAAATCCCAGCTCAGCTCCATGGTGGGAATCTGTGCTTGGACTGAAATTTAAAAGCAATCAGTGTGATGACAATAATCACAACAGCAATGAAGGAAGTTGCCACAGACACTTTTTTCATGGCTCAGAGGATATTTGAGATGTAAACCATCTGCGTATGTAGAGGTACTCTGTACCCTGAGTCTGTTTTCACTGAAAGGGCATCTAAAAGAGATAAAAATGAATAGTCATCATTATGGACTGGATATCTTCCAGCTGCTTAGTAATTAGAGTTTTAATTGCCTGGTAATACAAGTTTTAATTACTCAGCAATTAGTGCTTGAAGTTTCAAGTTCTTCACATGCACTCAATTGCTTTCATGAGTTGTCAAGATGGAGCAGCTCCAGCGTGTCTCAGCAAAGCTCTGAGCAAGAGGGGTAAACATCATGGAGCAGCAGCAGCAGCAGGTGGGCATAGCCCCAGTGACCAGTCAGGCAAACACTCTCACAGAGCAGAGCCTGCAGGCAGCTTGTGACCTTCCCCTAACCCACCCCTTCCTCGGCTGGGACAGACGAGAGGATGGTAAAGGCATCCTGCTGGCTGGGGAAAGGCTACTGCAGAGACCAAGTCCTTTCTGTCTCTTTCGTTCTCTTGGTGCATTCATTCCTTCAGGCTTTTAGTCACATACCCTGCACGTACTATTCAGTTACAGTAAATAAGTTTCAAACTAAACTGACATGGATCGAATAGGAAGGAACGAACTCTGTAGGTGTCCTATCAAAATGCAGAATCTAGAAGGAACTGCATATTTGTGATCTGCTTGGGTAACCAAAGAGGCAAATTGTCTGACAAGCCAAGTAGTCACGGAGCAGGGACAACTTTTCCATAAAATAATTATAGCTGCTCCAGCTTTCCTTTTCATGCCCAGAAGAGAGAGTTTTAAATTATGTTCAGGTTTTCTACAGGCAGCATGCAAAATTCATCACAAGAACTTTGGCAAAATGGGACTAAATTGATCTAGTAAAAATATTCCATAGAAAAAAAATCTGGTAGAGGAAGGACCAGATGAAACTTTTCAGAAATTCAAGGAAAACTGCATGTTCTATTAGATGTTACTCATAATTGTAGAAATCTAATTTTTGAGGAGGAAATCATAATGCATTTCAAAAGGTGGGGGTGTTGTTTCCTTTTTTTGTTGGACTAGCTTCCAAATTTATCTATTGGTAAACGAGAGTTAAAGTGGAGACATGAAGTTTATGGGTAAACATACTAATAGTCACATAGGCACAAACTTGAAAAAGCCTTTCCTATTCCTAAGTATTAGAAAAAAATCGAATAAATTCAAATCATGATTGCCTAAACATCAACATGTAAATAATATACACATAGCATTAAACAAAACAGAGTTTTCCCCCTCTGCTCTGAAAGGAAAGAGCTTAGACCTTTTAATAGTACTTGGTTACATGATTAGCAACCTGGTTAGTAACTCAAAGCATTTAGGTCATCCCTAATGTAGCATCAGATGTTTTCTATACTCCAGGCTGTACAGGTCATTGATTCCACAAATGCTGTACTTCACTGGGGTGCTGATTTCAGGGACTATACATATGGTTTCTGTCTCATTTTCCTGAGACAATATCTGTAGTACACTTCACAATGGTGAATAAATAAATACCTGATCATAGCAGACTCTGTTGTTTCTAGCAACAGAACTCTGTGAAGTATTAAAGTCATAATAAGCTGGGATTCACATTATTGAATGTATCTGTCTTGTCTAAGCTGGTAACAGGTTCAGTGAATTGACACAGACATCTGGGTGAATCACTCCTTCCAAATTTAAATGCCCAGGACAGATGAGGTGATTATTCTCTGATTATTCTCTGGTGGAGCTTTCAGTATTAAATAAGGAAGGACAATTCTTAGACAAGTGAAACCCAGAGAAATGTAGAGTCTCAGAAGGAGAATGGGCTGAGGAAAATAGGCTTTTTTGAGTGTCAGTATTAATTTCCCCTTACACATCCAGGAAAAGGACTTGTATTTCAGATAATGTTTATGTTGTAGTTACCATTATTCCTTTCACCTCTGAGGCTGCAACTCAGAGTCCCAGGCTTGGACAGTAAACCATCCTGTGTTAGACACTGTATAGATATAGGGCACACAGCTAACCTCCATCCCTAGTAGATTAGAGTCAAAGCAGTCCATGCCATACATTTTATTTACGGTGAGAAATCATACTCCACAGTAAGTCTTTGCAACAGCCAGTTCTTTGGTTGACTCCTCTATTGAAAAGTGCTTCCTCTTTTCAGTGTTTGGCACCTGATGAAACATCTCTTTTCTCTTATTGTTTCCCAGCTATGCTATTTCCAGCTGCTCAGCGATTCAAGAGGTCCTCAGCTGCCTTCCTTAACCCAGTGTTACAAAACTCACTGGAAGATGTGGTCCTGCTTTACGAGGTTCAGTATATGGGAGCAGATGGTACCTTAAGCCTTAACCAAGACTGGGGTTACTTTCCACACTGGGGTTACTTTCCATACTGAGGTTATCCATTATCTTGTTTTCATGTCACTTTTACTCATCCCAGAAGTAAACCCATTGCTGACTGTGTGATAGGTCACCAGAAGGGAGAGAACAGACATATATATACATATATATATATGTGACGATCTCAGTTCTTTGAGCACTTAAGCAGGCAGCAGTTGTCTGCTGCACCTCAAATGTGGGTTCTAGCTCACCAACAGGCAAAGTGAAAACCAGAGCAAAAGGCCTTTCACTGAAATGTACTTATTTCCAGAAAAGTTGCATATTAACAACACATTTAAATTCTTTGGTCTAGGTCTCAGTCCCAAATTATTAAGGCTACAAGTATCAGTCATTGCAAAGTAACCACAAGGGCATGACTGTATTCACTTCAAAACAATTCAGGTCCCCCCCACTGACAGCAGTGGAGAGTGCAATCTGTAAATCACAGTCTGGTCGTACAGTTACCTAAGGGAAAGTGGCCCACCTGAAGAGGTTGTATGGGTCAAATCTGTCTATTCCACACCCTGAGAAACTGGGATTGGATGTCCAAAGAGGGAAGATGGGCTGGGAAGCTACTGATGTGCTTTCTCACACAGAATTAGGCTATCTCCAGCAGAGTGTCAGTAGCAGCCCATGTCTGTTTTGGTCTAGAGAAGAGAATCTGCTTTTTCCTTTTTTCTTTTCCCCGTAGCCTATGTCTAATTTTCCCAGGCAGGTAACACAGGAGTCCAATTTTCACATAGAAACTTTCTGGTCTGCCCCACCTCCAGCCAGTGCAATTGTCTCCATTTGACATAAACTAAAGGCCTGAGGACATGTTGTTAATGCACATTTACTGTGCCTAAAGTCTCTTGGAGAAAATAAATAGCTTTCTGTGTTCTGATTTTGTACCAGTTTCTTTTAGCTGAGCTTGACATTGACAAAGGTCAGAGGATCTCCATCAAAGATGAGGAGCTTGCTTCACTGAGGAAGGCTGCTGAGTTTGACACCATCTGCAATGAGATTATCCCCAAGAGCATCACAGAGATCCGCAGGCTGAGTAGCAGGCTCTCTTCCTACCCAAGGGTCCTCAAGAAAGAAGACTTTGAAAGGACAGTGCTGACCATGGTCTACACAGCCTACAGAGCTGCTCAGTCCCAGGGGCACCAGAAGGACATTTGGGCTCAGTCCTTTGTCAGTCTTTACAAAGCCCTGAAGCACGACTTGATGTTCCCATACAACAAACAGCCATCATAGTGGGAGACTAGATGCAACAGCAACTTAGCCACCTCTTTTGGTTGATAATGGACATATGTAGCACGTCCACCACTTTATTCTGTAAAGAGTTTAATAGCCCGCTTTGTGAAAGATTATTTGTTTTCTAGCTCCCTCTTGTGGAATCCACTTTAAAGTTCCATTTTAAATGGTGCAAAATGTCCAGTCCTGAGAATTAAATTTTTGTGCTGGCTTGGAGACACACAAGCAAAGTAGTGAGTCTAGGGTACACCCAGACAAACCCTGGCTTCATCCTTTGGGTTTCCTATAAACAATAAATAAGTATACTATGCTTATGCTTACATCCTTATATGTAACTGCTGGAGAGTGTTACTTTCATAGCTAGGGAAACAAGTTCATGTTTTGACTGGCCAGTAAAAGAATATTATAAATAGATGCAAAGGCCCTCTGTAAAAGGAAGAAGTTTCATAACTGTCAGCGTTCAGAAATTATGCCATATATTATTCATTCCAAATGTTCCTGTAAATAAGCACTCTCTGATTCACTTCATTTGGCTGAGCCAGTTTTTAATTGCAATAACATTTGCAGAAAACAAAGGGCATTGTGAACACCAGCAGCAAACAATGCCTGTGAACGTATTCCCTGCTTCCTAGAGCTGCCCTCCCTAACAGTCTGCAATGATTCTTTCATTATTTGCACACGGCTTTGCTTCTGCTGTTTTTAATTTTTTTTGAAAGGAACATGTATTTGTTCACAGTGGAATCAAAGGCAAGACAAAGGCCCTATTTAAGTTAATAATGACACAGTTTTCCTGGTTCTGTCACTTGAACATAGGTCATCTAAACCCATGCTTCAGAATCCCCCTGAGGCAAAGGAGGAAGGTGCATTAAAACATACCTGGTGCTGAATCTAGCACTGTAGCTCATGGGGTTTTTTTGGTTGGTTGGTTGGTTTGTTGTGTTTGGTTTTTTTTTAATAGCAAATTGTATATTCATTTGAGTATACATGTGTGTGTATGTCTGTGTATGTTCATGCATGTGTGTGCACGTAAGTGCTGAGTACAGAGAAAAATCCTGAATTGTTCAGTCAGGGAAAAATTGCATCTGACCACTTAGCAGAAATGCTATTTATCAATCCAGTGGTGCGAATTATGAATTTGGGAGCAGCAAAATAAATAATGCAACCAATTTTAATAAATTCCCAAATGAATCATGGACAGAAAATAGACAGAAAAAGAAGATGTATGTTGTCAGACAGATGGCTAGCTATCAAAAATCCAAACTCTTCTAAATCAAATCCCCTAATTTTTGTCCAGAAGGGATACAAACTCTGCTTTTCTATTGAAATTAGTGAAGCTTCTACTTCCAGAGCCATGGGAAAAGAGCTAAACATTTATTTCATCCTTTCATACCATCCTTCTCTATCTCTCTGCTGGTATAATATTTTAAGGATACAGACCCAAACCACAAATCCCTGAGACTGTAGAGGAGACCTGTGGATTCCAGCCCAAGTTCTGAATCGCATTTCACTGCTTTTGCATCACTTGAGCAAACAGAATTAATTCCAGCGTGTCCCTTTACAGGGATACTTCCAGGACTGGAGCTGAAAAATGTCTGTCCAGCACCACCTTGTTGCAGCAAACATCAGATAGCACAAGCAGTCAGAGCGCACTGGGTTTGACAGTCACATGTGGGAATGTGGAACCACAGGAGCCTTAGGGGCAGTCTGCCCATGGCATTAGCAACTGGACAAAGGGCTTATGAAAGACAGGGTCGGTCTTGTTTCTCCCAGGAGTTTCTGTATTTGTGTGTATGGTTGTGCACGTCCTCATTTAGCCTCACATAGGTGTGGGTACATTTTTATACCTGAAGAATTTTGTTGGCTATCTTCAAAGTCTGCCTGGCACACGGCAAGGGAAACCAAAAACCTCAGCCACAAAGCTACAGGCCTCAAATATCTCCATCTCCTCTGCTTGCACAGGGCTCTCACAAAGCAGCCTTGCACTACAGCCTTCATGCCCTTTAAGCCCTGAGCTGTAACACTGATGATCTGTTTGTGTTTTCTTCCCTCACCATGCTTTATAAACACATGGAGGGGAAATGGTACAGAGTGTGCTACTGCTTTTCCAGCTCTGCTTCTTGGCTCCCTGAAGCACCGCTTGCCAGGAGCAGTTCCACCTGTCTGGAACCAGGGCAATTCATAAATTCCTTACAGCCAGCTACTCCAAGTCTGCAAAAATAATAATAAAGAAAACTAAAGGAAATATTAATTGCTACCAGTCACCATTCAGAGAAATGAATGGTGCAGTGACCATTCAGAGGAATGCTCCTCAGCCCACTACAGGACTGTCCAGCAGTCAAAGTTAACTCATCATACAATATCACATACAAAAAAATTACAGGTAATTTTTACTATCTTATAATTCCCTATGGCATACATAGTAAGGTTACTGTACCTTACACATTGGTAACTGAAACCTTTATCTCCTCAATAGAAAATAAAGGTTTTATGAATTTATTTCCCTCCTCCCTTTCCTGTGTGTAATGTAGGAAAAAGATTTATTCCTTGGGAATGTGCTTGGACTGCCCAGGTTAATTTAACAGAGATTCTCAATGTAATAATAAAACATTATACATAAAATACTTGTCTTTGCATTGTATTGATTTAGCAGCAGATTTACTATTTAGCAACTTCAGCTTGAGTAATTGCTCACCTTGAAATGCAAAACTCCTCATGAGAGCAACAGTACAGTGGAGAAAAGGGAACAACCCTTCCCTCTGTGGAGCAGGAGTTGGTAATAAATAGGAACAAGAGGGCCTCCTTTTCCAGTGTTCTGGCAGGAAAGAGCACTCGACCTTCAGGGCAGTTCTTTGGGTTTAGGGCAGTTCCCTCCCTCAATACTCCTTAAGGTGTAGGAGTAGGTTGCCTGCTCCCAGCCTGAGTCTACATCTTATCACTTCAGACTGAGCCTTCTTTATAGGCTATTTGTCCCTCAGAGGCTGAAAAATCATTGCTCCTAAATGGCACCTTTTATTCACCCTTTGACCTTACAGATCATAAAAATGTGAAATAAGGGTTAGATTTCTTTTTCATTTAAAATAAAACTATTTTTAATTTTTTTAGGTATTTTAGACTTCTTTTTTTTTTTTTTTTTTTTTTTTTTTTTTTTTTTTTTTTTTTTTTTTTTTTTTTTTTTTTTTTTTTTTTTTTTTTTTTTTTTTTTTTTTTTTTTTTTTTTTTTTTTTTTTTTTTTTTTTTTTTTTTTTTTTTTTTTTTTTTTTTTTTTTTTTTTTTTTTTTTTTTTTTTTTTTTAATCTCTCTGAAACAACCAATAAAATGTATATTAATTCCCTGGCTGCATTAGCCAACCCAAAATCTTAACATTAAGTATATTTTTACTTCCAGAACTAGTTGCTACATTTGCCAGAAGGGTCTCAAAGTTTTGTTGCTTGATAGAAGTTTCAAGGCATATAGAAGCATTTCACAGTCTGAGATACAATTACTAGTTTAAGAAAGAATTCAACCTGCACATCAAACCCCTCTGCAGGTCTGCCTTTGCTGGTTCCCCAGGAGTCAGGGTCACAGAGGCATTACAATCCAACCTGGGGAGCTCAGTTTGTTGTTGACTAGCAGAGGGTGGGGAGAGGATAGAGCAAGCACCTTTTGGGGGCATGGAAATTCCTAAATGTGTGGATTTCTATGAATAGATGTCCACAGATTGTGCCTGTAACCAGCCAGTGGGTTCAGCCCTAAATCTACGGTACTTTTGGCCCCACAAAAAGCATTAATTCAGGAGTGTTGGAGAAATGTTTTTCCACCGGAAGAGTAGAGTGGAACGTCTAAAAATTTCCAATTTGGTTTTGAATACTGAGGTTACTTAGGGCACATTAATCAGTAGAGAGATTGTGACATTCAAGGATCTCAATGGAAGAAACATGAAGACAAAAGATACTGTTTAGAAAACAATGATTATTTATTTATCATCAGTACTGGGACCTTGAAACAATAACAAACTGTTCAGGAACTTAGAAAAGGTCTTTTTGTATATTTGTGTAAATGTCAGAATGAGGAGGCTGTTGATGTTCTCAAATGTTCTCACTGGGTTTTGGACAATGGGTGGAGCAACTTTTACCTTCTGCAGTCCTCATTGGTGAATTAGAGTTGTATGTAGCTTTTTAACACATTTTTGTCTTGAGATCAAGTATAATCTGCACTGGAATTGCTGCCCTTTGAATTGCAGGCTCAGGGCAAAAGTAGGGTAAAGGTAGATACAAAGTAGAAGCAAAGAAATAAAGTCTGAAGGAGCTGCAGATGGGGTTTTTTGTGTTTTTGGTTTTTTTTTTAAGAAGAAGTACCTGAACATTTACTTCTATGCACTGAACCATAAATTGTTTGGTTTAATAATTTTCCAGCAGAAAAGAAACTGTATTTGAGGCATTCAGACTATCAAACAGAAGGAAAAACAGCAGCTCAAAACATATCCCGCCTGGTTTATGAAAACAGGAGTCACATCTCCAGATGATGGAAGAAAAAAAATTTATAAAACATGGGAATAAGGATACAACACAGCTACAACTGTGAGTCTAAATTAAAAATAAAAATTGTAAAAAGATCACTATGTTCCAACTTGCAAACCTCTGCATAGTATGGTGTGATAATAATTTGGATGTGCTGGTGAGCCCTACATAAACTGAATATCTTTTTAACTGAAAAACCTTATCAAAACAAAAGATTGAAGAACAAATAAATTGACTGTAAGGGGATAGGAAATGAGGTGGTGAGAGACATTTTGGGGAAATCCAGGCACAGGTGAAGGAAAGCTGAAGTCGACTGGAAGTTGGAGTATCTGAGGCGTCAAAGTTGGAAAAAGTGAAGGTGTGGAAGTTGAAGAATCTGAGGAACTGGAAAAGTATCTGAAGGAGAAGAAAGCCACCAAAAAGTAGAAGAGTATGGCAGTGATGAAGGAGATTCTCCAATCAAGAAACCTCCTGCTCGTTGTTCTCATTCCCCTTCTGCTGCTTCCTCTGCCACTCGTATACCCCAGCAGCGTAAGTACATTTTAATTTTCTTTTTAACAAAGCCTCTGAGTGCAGTAGGTAGTACTGCTGGATAAGTTTGCAGTGTGCAAAAACGAAGTCAAAGACCTAAAAAAGCATAGATCTTAGAAAAATCAGAGACTCAAATCTGAAGGACTGTGAGGGTCACTTAGAAGTCATCACAGTAAGAACTGGAGCTACCTTGAGTCATGTCACAAGCAAAGCTGAAGAGTCAGGTGAAGCTAATAAAGCAATACTTTAAAGCAATACTGCAAAATGTATCTCCTCATTTTCTAAAATAATGTCTACTTAGAAGAGGGAACAGAAGAAACATATACATGAAATTTTCTTTAATGAGAGGTCTTTAAAAGGAACACTTATAGTATTCCTTTATTAAAAAACTCTTTAGTTTTTAAATAATGAGTATGTGTGGAGGGACTTTCAATTTAATGTGGCTTTGTAAGATGGCAACTCAGGTGAAGCAGGGGCTAGGAGGCAGTTACAGACATGTAGGACCCTACATGGTATTGTCTATTCCAGAGCAGGTGTAGGTATCTCTGCAGCTCTGACAGTGGGTAATAAATGCTGGCTCAGAGACAAAAACAGCAATTCAAAGGAGGGAATAGTCTGTGCCTAACACACAGACCAGAGAATGGGAATGAATTCAGCTGTGTTCCTGACACTGCTTTGGACCTACTGAATACCTTTGGCCACACGGTGAACTCCTCTCTGTGCACATCTCTGCCGTTGTAACCCATAAAATAGCAATGATTTCCTACCTCGTGGAGATGGTGATATGTAACTTATCAAAATTTGCAGTGTATTTAAAATTCTGCAGCTTGCCCTTCCACATAGTCCTAGACATAAATCTGGCCAAATGGTGCAGCAATTTCCATTTCATCTTCTACGCTGCTAAAGATTAATTCTTCCTTACAGTATCAGAGAATTTTTGAATACAACTACTTTATGAAATCAAAATGCACAGGATTAGAAATTGTATATCTGTTTTCAAAAATAAAACACCAATAATTTTTTTGAAAGAAAGCCAGGATTCATAAAAAGGAGATGTTCCTACACCACTAAACTGTATGTTGCGCTTCAAGTATTCCTGCTCTGAACTTCAATGCATATCTCGGCTGTTCTCTTGTAGTAGTTTTTCATCTCTTCTATCTCGAGAGAGGCAGTGAATGACAGACAATTGTGGTCTTCTTCAGAGAACAGAAGGGCACTGGAAGGGGGACATAAAAAGATACAGTCCCTGACATGCCCAGATGGCACTGTAACTGCAGCATGCTCTGTGTCCCTTGAGACCCTTCCCTAGGAAAAATGAGACTCATTGCATTAAAATTTGTCCCTCTTGTTTGCTCCTTACTGGGTTCAGAAGCATAGGATGCAATAAGGAGACCTTAATAACAAAGGGAATTGTAACAGAACCGTATTGGTGCTAAAGCAGAAGTTCGTAGAAAGTATTACTGCAAGAATTACTATTACACAGTACAAGTCCTTGTGATGTTGCTTTACTGTGAAGTGACATGAAAATCCATCAGGTGATGTTGTACATCCACTTTGTATATATGTGAATGACCACAGATAATAAAGTACTGCTGAGAATCTGACCAAGTTGGACAGATGTTTATAGCACTATTAAGAAAACATCTTCACCAGATAAACTCAGCTGACACTACTCTATTCAAGTGCTTTTGTGTAGGATTTACTTTGCTACAACCCATTGATTACGATTTCTTCTTAAACTTGAAGATTAAATTTTATGCCTGCTCACTTAATTATATTTTTATTTATCAGACAAATATACTAGTTTCCTGTCTTTCTTATAGAGATCAGAATTACCAGGTCACATATATTTGCGTTTCTGCACGGAATTGGGGTGCAGTTTCTTTGATGATATCAGCACATCTCTGGAAACGTCAAAGGAGCATTACATATGTATTGACAAGACTGATCAAAGGGAGCACAAGGATTCAGAACTGTTTGTAGATATGGCTAGTGGGAATAAAGTCCATGGCTTGTTTTCTATTGTTTTGTGACAAAAAATTTTTAAGTAAAAAATACATTTGAGAAAATTTACTTGAATTCTTTTTCCCTTTTCAAAGTTATAGCTGAACTTGTTCAGCAGGTTTGGATGCACAAAAGCGCCTTTCAGGCACATTTAGGAAAAAAAAACAAACATGCCTGCATGCAAAATATGCAATGTACACTTTCAAGTGGACGAATTTCCAACACAGAGTTTATTCTTCCTTTTAGTCGCTCTGAGATCCTTGTTTATTTTAGTTACAAAACCTTTATGCATGACCCTTAGTACAGAAGTTTTAGCCATGGCTTCCTTACAGCTCCTCTTTTCTTTTCACCTAAGGGGCTGACTGAAGCCAGATAATTAGATGATAGTCCCTTCAACCATCACATTCTTTCCTATTACCTGTTTCAAGCCCTGAGGTGGGCTTGAAAGTAAAACAACAAGTGAGAGTGAAACAGTTAAAATTACACTGCCATTACTTCAGTCTAGTACTTAGTAGCTCTGGTAACCATTAATTAAATATATAAATTCAGTTCAATTAAATAGAAGAGAATTATAACCAAAGAGAACCTTTGCTCGACCAAATTTCGTGAGTCTTTTATTTCTTTCAACGATCTGTTCGACTAATTCAAAAATCACCTCTAATAGTTTGAACCGAAAGGATCATGAACATTTTGTCAAAATACGGTAAATTTTTACTCGAAATAAAATCCGACAAAATAAGAACATTTTACTAATATCGGAGCACATACTTTTTAAAAGAGACTCAGTGCCCTTCCCAGTTAGGTTTTGATAGAGACGCAATTTCCCTTTGTCCTATTCCATCTTCACTATCAGCCTACTTTTTTTGCCACATACAGAAGGGTAATAGAAAATAACAACAATGAATGCTCAGAGAAATTAAACAGAAGTAAATTTTTGGAGTGAGAAAATGGTTTGAATTCAGCTTAGAGTGAAATTAATTTTATTAATTTTGGCAAAACATATTCCTTGTGACTTGCATCTGCACTTTTTTAAAACAAAAATCAATGCTTTTTCTTTAGAAGTTATTTTTTGCCTTAGATAACTGCTGGATGTCATACAGAGCCCACACAAATGTTGTAGTTTGTTAGCAGAAATTTTAAAAATTAAAAATGTGTCAAATAGTCAGTAGGTCACAAAAATGGTCCTATGCTCTGCTCTCTGTGGCATATCAATCATGATGTATAACGTAGTTAAAGGTGACTAAGCAGCAAGTTGGTTAATGTTTATGAGATATTTCATCAGTTCCATGACTCATCTAAACCAGTTTTGTCTTCCTAGTAGAGATTACCAAAAATCTCTAATGCCTATCATCTCACTTGTTAAACGTCCATTTTTAAGTCAAAATTATTTGTTTGGGTTTTTTTACCAAGTGAGCACTTGAAATTGCTACAAACTGAACTGAACACCAGACTTCGGAGTTTCAAACAGCATAGCAATTACATTTTATAAAATAATCATAATCCACAAATATTAACAAAACTCCTCTGACCTTATCCATTCCAGTCCAACCTTCTCTCACCTCTCTTAGAATTTTTTCTTGGAAGCAATGAAGATGCAACTGCAAGATACTCTTTTGTTGTAATATGTTGCTGAAGGATCTTACCATAGAGGACTAGTGAAACCTCTACTGCAGAGTTTAAAGCCTAAACCACTCTCCTATGATAGTTAAGGAAGAGAAACAAATATGCACCCTTCTGTGTAATTCAGAGTACCAATCCATCAACAAAGGAAGAATTCAGAGCTAAATTTCTCAAATAGCCTTTCAGATACCCTTTATAATCTCTAAAGTAATTGTAATTTATCTGCTTCAAGGAGGTAAAGTTTTCTTATAAACTTATTTCAGTTATTTTGGTAGCCCTGCTTAATAGAATCATGGAATCGTTAAGGCTGGAAATTCATCTAAGGCCATTGAGTCAAATCATTAACTCAGCACTACCATGCTCACCATTAAACCATATTCCCAACAGTCATATCCACACACTCTTTGAAAGGTTCCAGGGATGGTGGATCCACCACCTCTCTAAGCATCCTGTTCCAATGCCCTGCCACCCATTCAGTAAAGAAATTTTCCCTGATATCCAATAGAAACTTACCCTGGCTTAGATGAATTACACCTGTTCAATGTCACACTTCTCTGAAATAAGAATCAGAGCAAGATCTGGCAGATATTTAAACACAATCTTCTGAGTAACCTTGGCTGAAATCCTTATGCGAATAAAGGAAATAGTATATATCAATATGAGTGTCCCTGGTGGTGCAGTGGTTAAACCACAGCGTTGTCAACGCTGAGATCTGGGTTCGATTCCCGGTTAGGACACTCCCCGGGCAGATGGAGCTCGTTAGCCCGTAAGGCAATCCATCTACGTCCTGAGGACCTCGCTGCCACCGTCCAAGCGTGCTTGGCCCCGGCAGATGAACCTCAGGATTAAAGGGTGGGCTCAGTTCCGCGCACA